AAACTTGAAGAGCACGGAAAACATAGGAATAAAATGAAGCTAACTTTTGTTTAGTCGGATGACATGATTTAAAGTGTGGTGGAAGGCAAACCGATGAAGGTTTACGGTAAACTGTAGTACTGAAGTTGGATGTGTTACGTGTGACCAGAATGTCGAGAAACGGAAGAGAATTGCAAGTCTCAAGTTCAAAAGTGAACTGAATAGCAGGATCAATAGAATTCATTGTTGAAAGAACTCTATTTAAATCATCTTTATTACCTTCAAACAGGGTAAAAGTATCGTCTACGTAGCGGAACCATGCCGGGAAGTTTAAAGTTTCAAACAATTTTGATTCATAATAATGCATGTAGATATCAGCCAGGATGGGACTGAGGGGGGCTTCCCATGGCTAATCCCTCAGTTTGCTTGTAATATTTATTTGGAAAACAAAATGTGTTTGTTTCAAACAGAGTTTTTTAACAAACAGGTTTCCAATGCTTTTCTCCAAACTAAGTAAAATTTCGCGTCAAAGAACATGAGGCATATGTTAGAAAAAAGGAAACACAGAGTCTTCTGTTGCTCAACATGTTTGGTCGAAATCACACTTCAATTTTTCGCTGCCAAAATTATTCAAAAAACTTCCATTGGAGACTGGATTTTCTAGAGCATTTCACATTCATAAAAATCTTTCTTTCTATTAACGATCTAATTCCAATCCAAATTTGCCTTCGGCTTTTAGAGAAATTATGTTTTAGTTCTGGTTCACAACAGATGGCGCCACTTGCTTATTCTTGTCCAGCTTTCTTACTTATCATTATTTCCTTCTTGTCATTTGCGTTTTGCAAAAACCATCGAAACTAGTAAATTTTTAAATTAACGCTGATTTTTGTTGTTTGACTTCTGAATTAGTATTTATTCGGCGTGTTATTGTGTCTTAATTAAATGGATCCTTTGTTTTAAGAGGAAAGACCCCCAAAAGTTTAAGTAACATGGGTTCTCTCAGTTCATAAATCTGCCAGTAATTATTACTATTGTAATCTTTTCATCAATAAAGGAATAATACAGAGCTTATGCAAATGAATTTTTTAATTCTTTCATAAGTACAACAGCCCTTGCCTGCCTCAATCACGTGCTCCTTCCAATGTCTTCTATCTGCAGCGACTTCTTTCCAATTTTTTATTCTCAAGCTTTAAAGTCTTTTTCAATGTCATCTAACCATCTAGTCGATGGCCTTCCTTTAGCTCGGGATCCCCCGGTTATTTTAATGCCAATATCTCAGTGGGATTTTTTTCTGGGCTTCTCTAAATATGCTCCAGCTATCTTAATCTATTAACTATAGATGACTTGTGTTATTTGTGGTTGCCTATAAAGCCCGTATAGTTCTATTGTATATTATATTTTGCACTCCAACATTCCTCTCCCTCTACTGGGATAAAAATCGCTCTCAGGATGTCCAGTGAGCACAGTATGTCTTTATTTAATAAAACAGGTAGTATTAGTGCCTTAAACATTCGTAATTTTGTTTTGCAACTCATAAGATTAGATCGTAATTGCCTTTTTAGCCTAAAGAAGTATTTATAGGCAACTTTAATTCTATTATCAGTTTCTGCTTTTATTTTAATTATACTGCCAACATATTTAAATTCATCAGCTGTTAATGCACATCGGGTTATGATAGTTTCCACGGATGGTGTGATTTCCATTAATCTGGGTTTTATCTTTGTTGACTGTGAAACCTATATTTGTGGCAGAAGATTCGAGAGCGGAAAAAGTCTAAATTACCTGCCTTTTCCAATAATATCTACATCATCCCTGTAGGCCAATATTTGCAGGGACCTATTCCACATAGTGTTCCTTCAGTTTAAATCACTGTCTCTGATGTACTTTTCTAATGCTAAACTGAATAGCAGGCACGAAAGGGAATCGTCTTGACATATGCCTCTTTCTGTTATAAAAGGTTCAGCTAAATGATTTTGAATTTTAATCTTACATCTCACTTTACCAAGTATAACTTAGTTAAATTAATAAGCTTGTTAAGGATTCCAAACGCTACATTGCTTCAAATAGCTTGTCCCACTTTATGCTATCATATGCTGCCTTGAAATCTACAAATAGATGTTAAGTTTTAGTACTGTAATCTTAGTTTTTTCAAGAATTTGTCCTAAGGCAAGAATCTGGTCAATAGTAGAGGTCTAAATCCACACTAATAGCTTGCAATAATTTTATTAACAAAGAGTAGCAATCTTGCATATAATAGATTAGAGTATATTTTATATGCCATATTGAGATGAATCTTTTAACTGAATTGTTAAAAAATATTCCACAGGAACACAGTTGCAAACACTTAAAAAACTGATGGTCTCACTTGAATACACATTAAAAAATCTAGATATAGCAGTAATTTCTTTCTGTAGATGATGGATTTTATTTTAATAAAAACTTCCTAATTAATAAAATATTTTTGTTTCTGTAAAACAAAAAACACCTTCTCCCTATACAATTTAAAGATAAAATTATTTATTTATCAGTGACTCACATAGTAAATAAAGCAACGGTGTATTTAATTATGGCAAAGCACACTAGGGCTATCTGCCTAAGGGGAGGAATGCCTTTTCGTGGAGGACTTTCTAAGGGAAACTGGCTCGTATACACGTTACACATGGGGAAAACCACGAAAACGCCCATGCAGCCAGCCCGTTCGCGGGATTCGAACCTCGGACCGAACTACCAGTTTTCAGCGACTTTACCGCTTGGCCGCTGGTGGGCTCATAGTAAATAAAGAAAAATAGGTCTAAATACAATATATGTAAATTCTATTTTAAATGAATATTATAAATTGATAGACATAATGTTCACATTTAGCAGCAGCTTAAAAAATATATAGTGCACTGAATTTCTTTTCTGTGCTTGCAAATGCAAAATTGAAAACATATAAATAAAATAGAAAGATGCCTAATTTTGCCTAGAAAGAACAAGCAGTTTTGCTGATTGAAAATCCAGGTATCTGAACCCTAGTTAACTGAAGCTCTAATTTAATAATTTGTTCCTTTTTCGTGTATAGTAAACAGTTGCTGAGTGAGGCTTTGAAGAATACAAATCTGCAGAAACGCATTATCTTAATTGTTTAATCAATTTAATTTGCCCAATGTTAGAATTTCATTCATACATGATATGCTGCAGAGTGTTGGTCACAATATATTCTTTATAAGAAACACCCTCACGCATTCATCTAGCAACACTTCTTGGGAATGCTCACAAAGTGACTGACTCAGGCCAAGTTGTGATCATTTTGCTCAAGTTAGCATGACTGTAATCATGTATTTATCAGTGTCTATTTTCTTTTCCTTTTGAATCTGCATGTCTTAAAATTCAATGTGATCTTTAAGAAGAAGAATAAAACTGATAATGCAACAAAAAGCTTCAAATTTTTGACATTATCTCAACAACCGAAATTTTAAATAAGTTAAAAAGTGTTTCAATTACTTGCAGGAGAACTGGATATAAACAAATTAAACATAAGAACAATAAGGCAGAATGAGGAAAAGATTTGGTCTAGAATCAAAGTTTCAGGTTCACCAAAGGTTTCTCAAGGTTCAAAAAGAATTCCACTATTGACAAAGATGGAAAAAATATTTACAGCTTATATTGACAAAGCAACTCATATTGCAGGATTTTGGACTTGACAGAAGAAGAAGTAAAAAAATTAATCTTTTGCAGCCGTATTAAATTTATACATATGTATTATGCTGGTTGGAATCAATTTTCAATAGAACGAAAACAGTAATAAATATTAATGCAGAATTATGAAGCTTGTTGACTTAATATAAGATCAGTATAGTTCTTTGCTGTGGTGGCTGAGAGCAAACATAGAATTGGAACATTAAAAAAAGCTTTGGTGGATGAGAGTAGATATGCAACTGCAAAGGGTTAATCAAGAATGACCATCAAAGAAATGACAAATGAAGAATTTGCTGATCTTATAACGCCAAATGACAGTAAAAGTAGTGATAGCGAAGAAAGCTAGGTTATTTTAAAAGTCAATCAACAAAAATCAGCGTTATATTTGCAAATTTTCCAGGATTAGTTTTGATGGTTCAGTAGTTAAACCACAGAAGCTAGTCCAGGAAAATTTGCAAATATAATGCTGATTTTTGTTGTCTGACTTCTCAAATAATTGTTGTTTGGCATGTTATTTGAACCTAAAAAGATAGGTTAGTTTATTCAAGAATGGCAAAGTACTCAAAGGCCATTTGCCTAGGTAAAAGGATGCCTTTTTAGAGAACTTTACATTGGAAACTGGCTTGTATTCATATTACACATGACAAAAAAAATAAATAAATAAAACCCTGCAGCGAGCCCATCCACCTAGGATTTAACCCAGGTCGAACAGATGATATTCAGAAGTCTTAATAGCTCGACTACTGGCGGGGCATTACTGAAGAATGTAAAGCGTCTTTAACTTACAAGAAGCTAAATAAATTTTTAAAACAGGCACAGGAACTGTTTCATTTTTCAGTGACGACAGACCAAATGAAGAAAGAAGTCATTTAATGAGACATTCAATGACTAAAAACCTTTGCACTCCTAACTGCAAAACTTTTGCAGAGTTATGCCAATCTCCAAGTAAAAAATCATGAGGTTTTTTTTTTTTTTTTTTTTTTTTTTTAAATAACTGTATCACATGCCTACTAATTAAAAAGTAATAAAACTCCTGAAAATTAACGTTTATTTCATTTTCCCCTTTTTATTACAATAATATCTAAAAAAGTAATAAAAATCCTGAAAATTAACATTTAATTTTCCCCCTTTTAATTACAATAATATCTAAGTTTGTTTAAATTATGCATATTTTCTAGATTTAAACTATACTTAACACTGTTTATCCACAAAAAGCTAAATTTGCAGAATACAGTTTTGGTGTGCATGCAGTGTATTTATGACGTAACTCTAATATTCAGCGAGGGTTTTACTGTATAATTTCTTTCATTATTTTTCCTTCACTTCAAATAGATAACAAAAACTTTAAAAGAACACTGACACTTTATTTTTAATTTCTCAGTTTAAAAAAATATATATATGTCTTAGGAATTGGTGTGTATAAATTTACTGATATCAGTTTTATGATTACAGATTTGATGTTTGATGTAAATTTCTTTGAGTGAAAAAACTGTGACTCTTAGGCATTGCAGTCTTTGTTTGTGATCCATCACTCATAAATTTTAGCAAGTTTTGAGACTTCTTTGGTGAATTTTCATCATCAACTTCTTCCCTAGAATTCAATTATAATGAAACATATTTTATTATAAAAAAAATACTAACTTTAAAAAAAAACTGATCTACATATACAATAATAACTTAGTTCTATTTGAATGATATTATCTGCAACAGGTAATAATACATTACACTTAACCAAATCAATAAATAAAATGTTAAAGCAGCACAAAAAATTACTATAACTGCTGTCTACAATTAAAGTTGACATTTAAAGAGCTGTCCCCGCCCAAAAAAAACGTGCAGTTTGAAGACTTTAGATTAGAGTATAACACTTGAGATGGAATATTACAATTAAATAAATAAAAATAGTACTGTTGCAAACTAAGAAAACCAAATATTTGTTGTTAAATAAAATTAAAGCTCAACTAATGAATGGAGTTCCAACATTTGTTCAAGATTTTCTCCCCTTTTTAAACATATGATATAAACAGCAGACTATCAAACTGCGGAACACTTACTGGAAAACGCAGTAAGTGTTCCGCAGTCCTATTTAAAGAAAACCATGCTCAATAGCCTTTTACAAGAATGACAGAAAAGATGGGAAAGGGAAAGCATAGGGAGGAGAAACTACAAGTTATTTTCGAAAGTCACGTGCTCAATTAATACATACAGCGGAGCACAAACTCAGTTCTACACTGGCCATGGTCCCTTCCCACATTATCTTAAGAGATTCGGTATACGAGCATCAGAATTGTGTGAATGTGGTGCGGTAGGCGATGCAGATCACTTCCTCTTCAACTGCCCACAAGCCGATAAACTGCATTTAAAAATACCAAGCAATGAATACTGGCCGCAATGGGCGGAGAATACCTGCGGCAACAAGCAGACGAAAACTAAAATAGAGGAGGTAATCAGGCTATGCTCAGCAAGGTACTAAGAAATTCTCCCCCTCCCTTGAGAATTGTATCTTCGCAGCATAATTTTAATAGCAATTCAAAATACTACAACAACTGAAAATCAACACTATAAAAATAGCTCACCCCGTAGAATAATAACAGGACTGTAAGAGCAAAACTATTGTAATGTAAGCATATTACTATCCAGTTTGTATGTACTTGATAAAAATAATATTGTAAAGCAGTTTAAATGATATTGAAAATCCAGTCAATGTGTAAATATATTACGGGTCCTACGAGTAAATTGGCTTGAGAAACATTACGCTGTCAAAAGTAAAAAATTTGCAGACACACTCGAACTTGATTGCTAAGCTTTGAGTTACCATCTGCTCACTCCAGCCATGTCCATATCGATTTGGTTGGACTTGTTGGGACTAACGCCCTTACAAGGTTATACATACCTCCTTATATGTGTTGACAGGTACACACATTGGCTATTCCTTTTGTAGACATAGCAGCTGATACGGGGACCAAAACATTTCTCTGCATGGATTTCACGGTTTGGGTACCTAAGTGTGTTACCATGGACCAGGGACAGCAGTTCAAGATCCAATTATTTAATGCATTAACGAAATTCTTTGAAGTTAAGAAGATTCGGACATCACTGTATCACCTGGATTCCAATGAACTTGTTGAGAGGTTTCATTGCTCTCTTAAGTAGGCAACAGATTCCATTTTTCTGTTCACTGAGTTGATGTTCTTCCTATAGTGTTGTTAGAACAAACAATGACTTTTTTAAAGAGGACCTGGGTTCTTCCAATGTTGAAATTGCCCACAGTGTCAATTTAGGTTTATCTGAAAATTTTATAAACCTCACAAAAGACTCAAACAATGTCGAGCCTAATGCATTTCTCAAACACTTGTGTGAAACCATGGGTAGATTATCTCCTACTTTCACCAGTGTACATTCTTCAAGATCTGTGTTTATTCACAAAGAGCTTGCTACATCCTCACACGTGTTTTTGAGGTGTGATGTAAAAAAAAAAGTGCAGCCTACATCTAGTTCTATGTCGCACACTCAAGAACTATCAAATACTTATTGGAAACAAAGAGACAGTGATGAGCCTTGATCACCTCAAACCAGCTTTTATCTTTGCACCAGAAACTAATTAGACTTATATATCAGTTACACCCACTTCAAAGGCACCCACACCTTCACTCCTGATGTTTACACCTCCAGTTGCTACAGCATCATCACCTGACATAGGGTCCTATTTAACCCTTGGTACTTAACACTACAGGGGGAGTATTTTGGCTACTCTAGACAAACTTGTGTTTACTCACCAACTGTTTGCCTGTATCTCTAACTGCAATCACAATGGAAATTCGGTACACAAAAGCAACACTTCATGTTTCATCGGCATCGTGCTTGATCAGTCTTTTTCTCCGATGCAATTATCATCTTTGTTACTTTAATATGCAATAGTTATGTTATAATTAAAGATTTTGTTATTTAAAATTAAGCTATTGTTTCAAGAGTCTTGTTTATATGATAATCTAACCCTGCCTCTGCATAAATATTTGTTAGCATCTGGTACAGCGGGGTGTTACAATGGTAATGGATTAACCAGATCATTATGCAGAAAACTGAATCTAGCATCTGGTGTTTAGAACTCAGTGAATTTAGATTATATAAGTCTGTTCAGTTTGCTTTTATGAAAATTAATACAAGTCTTGGTCCATTCATTAATTTCTTTCTTCATATTTGGTCAGATGAATTTTTCAGTCATCTATTTTACAGTTGTCAATGCGCAGATGAGAAATTTATGAATTTGATAAACAATTTATTGACAGAATTGCTTTAGATTAAAAAGGTTTAATGTTGGATGCTGAGTTGTCACACCATAATGTTTTTCCAGATTGCAATGCACATGATTTAAATTTCAGGGAGCACTATCTCTCATTACATGTTGCAATTCTTCATTATTTTCCTCAGCATCTGATAATGCATCATAATTCTGTGCATCATTTAATTTCTTGGAGTAGAATGCAATTTTCCAGTCTTGATCTTACAACTGTTGCACTACTGATCCTATAGCAAACTCTGACACATCTGTATGCAACAGTAAGTGTAATCCAGGTTTGGAAAAAAAAAGGCAGCATTGGTTAAATCAGATCTGCACTTCTTAAATTGGTGAATTCCATGGAAATTTATGATGACTGCTAAAATTTCTGCAGCATTTTTCAAATAGCGACGATAAAAATTTATCACATCAAGAAATCTACTAAGCTCAAGTATCATTGTGGTAAATTTATAATTAGAAATTATTTCAGTTTTTCCCGACAGTGAGTAAGAACATTCTCTGGTTATGAGGTAACTCAGATATTTTACCTGGCTAACTCCCATTTCTGACTTTCTTCTATATTACTATGAAGTTCATACTACTGTAATTGGTCAAAAACTAATTAATTATAGGTACAATTTATGCTCTTCTTTTGATGAAGAGGCAATTAAGACATCATCAAGGTATGGGAACACAAAATCTAATCCACATAACACTTCTGTAATGAAGTGTTTCAAAGTAGATGGAGCATTACAGAGTTTGGAATGTTTCTTTAAAATAGACACTTCAAAATTGTAATTCGTTTACGACCACCATGTGTATAGTCATCACAGCACACAGTGAACTAGGCAATTTGAGCAAAGTTGAGGATCTGACTTTTATTTTGCTGCAGCTGTTGCCATGGTTATGAGTTACTGTTTGGGGGGAGACAGACTTAAAATGCCTATTCTATAGTTTTCTTCGGCTTCTTTCATGACACAACTATCAAGTTTATCCTCTAATCACTATTTTTCTTTTAATGGAGGATATTCTGTTTCTTCAAGTAAGAATTATTCTGCTCTCTCAAAGAAAAACTGCAGGAAATGAAAACACAAAGAAAGATCGTATGAGGATTTTTATGTCCTCATAAAAAATGGGTTTGTGAAAAAAATCAAAAATTCATACATACTTAACATATTACATATACTCTATATATTTTTAATTTCTGTACAGTATGAAAGAAGTTGGCTAACCCCTTAACTGCCGCAGAAAACGTACAAGATTCATTTCTCAGTGCCACAGTTTTTCACATAGGCGTGCATAGTTATGCAATGAATTAGGGGGGAAATAAGTGCAAGCTTTACTTTCTAAAAACTGTTTACTTTCACAAAATAAAGAATAAAAGAAAAAAATTAATGCACAAAATTTAATGTTTTGAGTAAAAGTATAATAAAAATGATGTTTTTATAATAAAAAAGATCTATAAAATGGAGTTTCGATCAATTCATTTTTAGACCAGTAAAGTGTAAATTAAGTTTCAGTGTTATACCTTGTGAAATCAGTATGCCTGAAAAAACATATATTTCTTCTGAACTGGTTGAATGCCACGATTTTGTTCTTGACTTTTCGTTTGCCAGGTGTTGGTTCATATACTCGTCCACAAAACGGTTAGTTTCAGTAACAATATGAAGCACGAGCAGTTCATTAAAAAATAATTCAAAAAAGATAAATGGGTTTGAAACATCCATTATATCTTTCTTTATTCCAGGAACCTACTACAAAAAGTAAACGAAAATAGAGGACACAGAATAAAAAAAATACGTTTTACTCAAACAACTCCAGCCAATACTGCGCAGTCATTACTTTGACAGCTTTAGACACATCCCTCTCTCCAATTTCTCCCCACACTTCTCTGAAATAGTATTCTCCTTCTTATATTTTGTCAAGGTCATTGTGGTGTTGCATTCCAAAGCTTTGCGAATAATTTTACGGGTAGCAGCGTAAAGCAAATGATCGTATTTTGGAAGGGCTTATATATACGCCCGGGGCAGTTAACGCATCGGCTGAGCAAGGCATATATATACACCTGCAGTAGTTAAGGGGTTAGGATTATAACGATGGTAAGAAGTTGGTAAGGATTCATGACTTATCACTACTTTCAGCTGATTTTGGAATGTTAAAGGAATTTTTCCCTAAAAAGGGTTAGCTGAAAAGGAAAGGTGGAAGTCAATAGAAATTTTATGAATCACAAAAATATTGTTCACGTTTGTTTACTTGTTAAAAGCGAGTTATGCTCCCATAGATTTAATATTGTACCAACCAAGTATTTCTGATTTCCTTGTTAAATCAGAATTCGTTATAGGCAAGTTCTAGTGTACATAAAAATAAAAATTAAAAAAAATGGAAGGTTTACCTTCAAAATTAATAATACAAATTAAATCATTTATTATGTTATTTTGCTCTTCACAGATATTTATTTAATGCTGTATTACTTTTAATTCAAGTCACACATTTGTTCAAATTAAGACATGAAATTAGGATGTGACTTAAATTCAAACCAAACATCTTATAAATATTTTAATATTTTGAGTTGAATTCTCAATAAATTTGGTAGCCTTTAATATTTATACTTGAGCCTCTACCTAATAAAAATTCCTCTCATTTTACAATTATAAAATAATTTCTAATTTTTATTATTTTTTAAATTTTAAAATCTCACTGTAGTTTATAATAAAAATGATGTTTTTATAATAAGGTATTAACATCTAATTAATTATGGTATTAACATCTATGGAAATAATATGGTATTAACATCTAATTAATTATGGTTTAATAATAAAAATGAAAAGAAATGCATGCAATTATCACATTCTATAAAACAGGTACAATGAGATGACAAAAGAGATATTTTTGAAGTCAACGTTAATTTTTTGAAGGAAAAGTAAATTAGTATCTACAATATTATATCCAGAATATTTAAAAACATTTATACATACCATTTAACTTCCACAGCTTGTGCCTGTAAAATTTTATCTGCGGTAGACCAACTAAATCGAACAAGCTGTGGAAATCCAAAAACCGGATCAATGTTATTACACAGAAATTTTTTTGTCACAGGATCTGAAAATGATATAGATAATGTTACATACACAAACATCCTTTCTTTAAAAATTGTACAGAATTTAAAATTATTACTGCTCAAAATACAGCTAACAAAGATATATATTTAGACAGCATTAATACATTATTATGATATAGTATTAGCTTTAACCAGCCAATGAAGTTATGTTAATTTATCAGTCACTTATGTGCTACAGAATGTAATACCTTTACATATTACTTAATTTTCATCTTATTATTCATTAATGGGTTATATGAAAGTGCAGAATAATTTCTTCTAACAATTAATCTAAAATTACTAACCAAACTTAAATCAAACCAGATATCAATTCAATTTATTTAACTCACTTTGGAGAATTTTACAAAAATTTAAAAACTGTACATTTACTCACCATTTGGGTAACCAGATCCATATTCAATGTCTTGAAAACTATCCCCCTCAGCAAATTTCCAAGATTTCAAAGAATTATCCCTTGCAACCTAAATTAAAATAAATAAATATAGAACTCATCTGTTAGTTTTCTTTCTGGAAAATATGTTTAAAGAAAAATAAATATCTGAAAATTTACTCTTCTAACCAAATTACTGACAAATATTTTGATATCATGCATAGGCCAATATTTATAATCTTTTACATATGCATGCAAAAGAATAAAATATATGTTCCAAATAGGATTATCTATCTTGACACCTGTTATTGTATAAGAATGGGCTTGTAAAAGAAACTTGGTGACCAGAGGACAGGTTGGTTAAGACAGCTTATGACCTCTTAGGAGAAAATTCATTTTCCAAGAATCTACTGATTCTCGTCTGAGAATGATATCACTAATTATAAATCTCACATCTATAATGAAAAATAATAATTTTATTGATAAAAACAAACAAAACAAAAAAGCAACTTAAGAATTAATTAAGAAAACTTGCTTGAAAGAAGTTTTTATACTGTACAGTTTAGCAGTTGCTTGTTTCATGAGGTTGATTTTAGCTTTGAAATTTTTAGCTGGGATGCCTTAAACTTGTGAGATGTCAAACATATCTCTACAGACAAAACCATAACTAAATGCATCATTTCATAAAAGCTATTATGATGTACAGATGTGCAATGAAAAATAATTTCCAGGAAGTACACTCTCAAAAATGTGGGAGAAGATTTTAGATTTTTTTCTCCTTAACACTCTGAGCATTATGACCAGGTTTAGGCAGTCAGTGATTGATGGTTTTAGATGGTCAGTGGTGACAACCTCGAAAGCATTATGAGTACCTTAAAGCGGCTGTGCAGATGTCTCAGTGCCCCCCTTATTCCTGGAACCCTGGGGACCTCTAAATGACAACTCTCGTTAGGAGTCTGAGAGGGTTGCTCTTCTTCGTTTTAGACCGCTGCATTTTATCACCAAGAAAGTGCTTGAACATACAGTGGCTTATAAACAACAAACTGATGCGAACATTCTTCGCTAAATAAATAAGTAGCATGTAAAATTTTTCCAATACTATCTTTAAACAGATAACATTTTCATAAAATATAATTCAGATTTTAATCTAAATGTTTAGAAATATGCAAAATGCTCATGAATTCAATTAAAAATAGCATTTGAAAATATTTTTACATTAATTAAATAAATTTACATATGGCTATATAAAAGCGTAAAACAGGCAAGTTAAAACTTTTAATTATTCGAGCGAAACGAATAGTACTGCATTCAATTAACCTGAAATACACATAAAGAATAACAGAAGTCAGATAAAAATTAGAAAATCAATAATCTATTTTAATAAGTTATAATAAGCACATTCTTGATACGGGTTTACAAAATACAAACTAATTTGATAGTAAATATAATAATGGTGAATTAATTATTCATTTTGGAACAATACTCGTCGCTTGTTTGCTGAACTTCTGTTCTAATGCATTTAAAATATCCCAAAGCTTTTAATGTACATTGATTTAAATGCGATTTTCATTAGAAAAAATTTTAATGAGTTTGATTTTCTTGTGCACTTATGCTTTACATAATATATATTACTTTGTTCAATGCCCTATAACTTCAAGCAACAACGAAGAATTGAGTTAAAATTTCTGTATTTTGTTATATAAATTATTAAAATAACCTAGTGTAACATCTGAGCTTCCGAAATATAACCTACAACCTTTTTTAAGTGTTACAAATTTGAATTAAGAAAATAGCAGTAAATAAATAAATAAAACAGAATACTAATAAGAAAAAAAAGCACGATTTTTTGTTTAGTTTATTTCATTGCTTTTGGATGTATATCGTTGGCAAATGATGTATAAAGAAAAAGAATGATCTATGTTATTTTTCATATAAAATGCATAGAATTTTTCTGTAAAATAGTATCAGTCTTATACTGAATGTTGTCTAAAGAGTTACAATGATATTTTAGCTTGATTAACATATTAAATGCAGTTTTGTTTTAAATTGATAAAGTTTGAGTTATTCATAGGTTTAAGAAACGACATAGTCCAGGCTGAACAATAAAAAATATATTGGGAATATTAGGTTACATGGGAACAAGCAACCACAGCAATGCACACCAGATAGGGACTGAATGACAACAAAAACTACTGTTGCCAATTTTCATAAAGTAAATATTGGGACTGGCACATATACACATATTTTTAACACGCGCCCTTGCCAGTCACAGTATTTGCAAGATATTTACATACTTCCACAAAAGTTAATCACGCTGTGGTTGTACACATTTACAGAAAAACAATGTAGCTGCTATTACATGCATAAACACTATCGACCTCTACTTATGAATTACATCATTAAATGAACACATATTAAGTTATACTAGGAAACACAATGTTTACATGAAAACAATTAAGAAAATTTGTATCTAGGCTTCTTTCTGAAATTTTAAGTCTCTACACTGTCACTATCATAATGGTTTATTTTCAGTCATAAACTTCAAGGGAGATCATTTTTACATGCAAGTCCCGGCATAGTTCATGTCACGTAAAATTTTATTCGAGGTCTGCTTAGTTAAGAGATCAGCGAGATTGTCGCTGGATGGCACATGATCAAATATAATCACATTTTCTTTCACTAGGTCTCTCAGAAAATGAAATTTAATATCGATGTGCTTACTTCTTTCAGAAGTAACATGGTTCTTGGCTAAGAAAATTGCTCCCTGGTTGTCGACTAGCACTTTTTGAGGTGAAGCAGCTAATTCACTACAGATTTCCTTGATAAAATTTTTAATCCATAGGGTTTCCTTGGATCCATTTTAATCCATAGGACACATTGCCACATACTCTGCTTCTGTCAACGATAAAGCTGTTGTGGATTGCTTCTTGCTCGACCACGAGATTGGAGCACCTGCGAGTAGCATTATATAACCACTGTAAGATTTACGGTTAGTTCTGTCACCTCCCCAGTCAGCATCTGAGTAGATTTAAAGTGGCTCACCTGTCTTCTGGAATCTCAACTTTCTGTGTTTCCTTTAGGTATCTTAGAATGTGCTTCATACCTCTCCAGTGTTCTTCAGTGTGTTTTTCATTAAATTGGCTCATGTAGGTGGATGAATAAGCCATGTCTGGACGAGTACCACAGGTCAGATAAAGGAGACTTCCTATAGCTTGTCTGTAAGGGATTTCCTTGCTGTTTTCTTTGATTTCCTCCCACTGTTGTTCATCTACCTTCTTATATTTTATGCTGGTGTTCAATGGCGTAGATGCACATTTTGCTTCAGTCATTTTAAACGTTTCTAGGATTTCCGATACATAAACGATTTGATCCCATGTGTATGATCCATTTTCTTCTTTGCATATTTGCATGGATAAGATCTGGCTTGCAGGACCTAGGTCCTTGACACTGAACCTTTTCTTAATGCTTCCCTTGAATTCATTTATCTCTGGCATGTTTCCAACTATCAGGAGGTCGTCAACATAAACTCCAATTATGATGTTCTTCTCATGACAAAAATAAATACAAGGTTCTGCACTTGATCTTTTCAATCCATACTGGTTCAGGAAGTCGTTCAAAAGAAGCAAGAAGAAGCAAGTATTCCATGCACATCCTGATTGTCGAAGACCATAAATGCTTTTCTTCAGGTGGCAGACAAGGTGTTCTTTCCCTTTCTCAATGCAGCCTTCTGGCTGTGCCATACATATGTCCTCTTTTAGGATTCCATTAAAGTATGCAGCTTTCACATCCATTTGGTGAACCTCTAGGTTTTTCTCTGCAGCTACGGCAAGCAGTAACCTTATAGATTTAAGTTTGATGACTGGTGAAAAGGTGTCTTGAAAGTCCACTCCAGGTATTTGCAGATAGCCTTTTGCTACCAATCTGGCTTTGAACTTTGCTTCGGTTCCCAATCTTCGTCTTTTTTCTTACGAAAACAACCATCTGGATGGTATTACCTTTAGCTCCCTTGGTGGTTTAGTAGTTAGTTCCCAGGTTTGAGCCTTGAGTGAGGTTCTGAATTTCTTCCTCCATGGCTTGTCAGCTTTGGTGAACCACATGTCAGCTTCGGGTGATTTCAGGACATCTTTTAGAGTTACTGGATCCTTTTCTTCAGATTGTTGTATCTCTTGGGCATCGTACAGATAAAAATCTTCAAAATGTTTAGGAATTTTGGTTTTTCTTTTTTCATTTCTCTCACTCCCATGGGTAGGGTTTCTGGCTGCTGCCTCGACTTCAGAGTCTAAGTTGTTAGCAACATCTTGCATCTCTGTAACTGATAGGCCTTCATCTTCGTAATCTGGAGTATTTCTAAGCTGTATGTCTGGGCATCTTTCGAAATTTGGTCAATAGGATCTGTATTTAGACGTTTGGTTTCATCAAGTCATTTACTTCAGGAGTTATGTGATCTAGAGATGAGTCACAGGCTTCTGTTTCAGGTAGGTCCAAGGGATATTCTGATTCAAAGTCTTCAATTTTAAGAGTAGCTTCTTCTGCAGGATTGTCACACTTGCTTAGTTTTAAGGGGAAAACATTTTCTTCAAAAATGACATCTCTGCCCAAAAAACATTTCTTCTTCATGTCATACAATTTGTAGCCTTTAATGCCTTCAGGATATCCCACAAAAACACATTCTGTAGCTTTGGGATCAAGTTTGCTTCCTCTTGAGTGTGAGCGAACATGACTCCAGGCTCTGCATCCGAAAACTCTGAGGTGGTCTGTTTTGCTTCCAGACCCTGGCCATCTTTCTTCTGGAATATCGCCATCAATTGCCATAGATGGGCGCTTGTTGTGGAGATAGGCTGCAGTGGCCATTGCTTCAGCCCAAAACCTGTGATCTGCTCCGGACTCGATAAGTAAACATCCTGTCGTGTTTATCAATGTTTGGTTCAGTCTTTCTGCCAAACTATCTTGTTGAGGTGTGTCAGGTACAGTTAGTCGTCTTTGGATACCATGTGCAGCGAGGTACTTGTCGAATTTTCCACTTATGTATTCCCCACCATTGTCACTTCTCAAGAATTTGATTTTTCTTTTTGGAGATTTTCTACCATGCAA